GCACTTCGCCTCGCAGCACAGCCAGTATGTCCTCCTGCAGCGGCGTCTCCGGCACCACCACTGCTGCTGCTCCCGTGCCGGCTCCATCGATGGTCATCATCATGGACTCCAGTCGCGACTCAATGTCCGAGGGCGGGGCCACCAGCGAGGAGTGCTGGCTCGTCTCCAGATCACTGGTAATCACACTGGATCCCCGGCTGCGGATCACACAGCTGTCCTCCTGAACAGCCTGCGCCAGTAGTTGTGGCGTGCTGTTGCCCTTGGAGGAGATGCTGCCCAGCACAGAGGATTGCGAGTCGAAGTCGTGATCGGATCGGGTGGTGGGCGATATGACCGCGGAGCCTCGCTGCGGATGCAATTGATGGTGTTGTTGGTTTGATGGCGGATGCTGTTGTGCTTGCTGACTGTTGTTGGCCTGTTCGCTGAAGGCTAAATGAGGTGAGGGCGTCTTGAACTCAGAGTTGGGCTCGGCGGGATTAGCTCCAGGGGCTGAGGCTGGAGCGGCTACTGCTGGTGCAGGTCCCGCGGCAGCCAACAGCTGCTTGTGCTTGTGCTTCTTGCTCTTGGACTTCTTCTCGCTGCGGGATTCCGCAGCTGCAGCGGCTTTGGCGATGGCGTTGCGGATCACGTCCGTCTTGATGATCAGCTTGAGCCGCTCCTTGGGCGGCTTGTCCGGCGATATCTTCACCGTGCAGTAGTTGATCTCCGGCGGTTCCTCCTCCTCGTCTTCCTCCTCTTCGTCCTCCTCGTCTTCTTGGTTGGGGTCCAGTGACTTGCGTTCCTCAAAGGAATCGCCAGCTGCTCCTCCCCCTCCTCCTGTCGCTGATGATGTCTCCACCGAATCTGCAGCTGACGGCGGCGGCGGCCTCAGTGGCTTCACTGTGATTTTTGGCGTACTTGCAGGAACTGTTTCGTCTCCGGTTCGATCCGCTGGCTCCTCATCCGTGACAGGAAGTAGGTTGTGCTGGTTCTGGTGAGCTGCGGGCGAACTGCTCGGCGGTTCCTCGCTATCCGTGCTGACCAAGCGCGAAGTGCCCTGCAAGATATGCAGAAAGTGCGAGATTAGCTGAGAATTATACTGGAATCCACTGTTTTTTGGGGGCTGCCTACTTCTAGCTGATCTGGCAAATAGAAATGGGGGGCCCTTCACGATAATTAGCACTCCAACTGAACCGAACTGGGCAAGAAGCCACCGATAAATGCGGAGCAAGAAGCGAGAACGAAGCGAAAAAAACAAAAGAGCAACAACAACTCGGGAGAGTGAGAGACTCCAATTCCGTTGGTTTGCCATGTAAAAGCGCGCGTAATTTAACACTGCTTCGCGCGCTGCGCTGCTTTCCCTTTCCCACACATGGCAGAGAAGGCAGGGGAAGGGAGAAGGAGCAAGCACCTTAGAGAGAGTGGCTGGGAGAGAGTCAGAAGTGAGAGGCGGCGGTGACGTTGGAGAGAGCGATCACACTCGGGGTACTCGACTAATTGTTGGAGTTGGATAATTGCTTACTTCGCTGGGTGAAATGTACCGAGCACGAGTGAGAGGGAGTGAGAGTGGTGAAAAGGAAGTTCAAATAAAATTTAAGAAATGACAGGGGCACTCACTAATATGGTGAGAAAGTATTTCAAATTGGATTCGGATTTAAATATCCTGAGATACATTACATACATATGTATGTACTATTTTATAGCAATATGAATTTAATATTATTAATTACCAATCCAATTTTATTAATATAGATTTTCAAAATCTAGTTAAGTATTTTAACTGTGCTTAAGTTTATTTTATTCAACCGACATACAACAAATGTCATCTTAACCAAAAGCGTTGCAGGATTAGTTAATATTGTGACTGATTCTGTTGAGATTTAGCAATCTCAATATATAAAATTTATTTCTCATTTCCAATATATTCTGAAAAATATTCATATTTTAGAATTATTTTAAAAGACCATAAACAATTAAGCTATGCGAAAATAGATATTTTAAAGTACTGCTTTTTCGATTGTTGATTAATCCCAGAAAAGATAATAAACCTATATAATTTGAAGCAGGGCAACCTAACTAAAACTAAGTTCTTGCTATAGTTCTTAACAAAAGTCCCAAGAGTGTGGCACTCACCTTGGAAATGCGGAGAACGATGGGTGGATGTTCCGGCGTGCGGGAGGCGCTTGGAGGATTCGACGCACCGCCGGATGCGAAGGGCAACTGGGTTGTCGTAGATGACGCGGATGTGCTGGGCGCAGATGTGGGCGGGGGTAGCGACGGCTCTGATCCCGGACTGCCAAACGTGGAACTGATGAAGGCTTCCGACAAGGAGGTTGCCGCAGCGGCTGTTGCTGTAGCCGCCACTTCCGCTGGCTGGCGCGTCGGCTTGGGAATGATCAGATCCTTGGTGGGCGTGGGATAGCGCTCGTCCTCGTCCACTTCGCAATAGTTGACGGCCTTGCGGGCCCGGCCCAAAACCCTTGAGGGTGGTGCCTCCGGCTTCAGCTTCTTCTCCTCCTTCGGCTTCTTCTCCTTTTTGTTCTGTTTGCCCGACGCACTGGACGGCTGCTCTGGCTGCTCCGAGGCGGGATCACTCAGCCCCTCGCCATCCCGATCAGAGGCGCCGTAGAACGCACCAGGCGTCGAGGGTGTGGTCGTGGCTGCTGTTCCTCCTCCTTGCGCTGCAGCTGCGGCTGCTGCCTTCTTCTTGGGCGACTTGCGCTTCCGCTCTGCGGAACTGCCACCCTTGCCCGGCTTTAGCTTCAGTCCGCCCGCCTCCTGGGCACCGGAAGTGGGTGTGGCACCACCACCACCGGAGTACTGATCTCGCATCGGCGATGCACCGGCCCCGCAATGCGGCAACTGTTGGATTATCTGCGCTATAACCTCCGGCGGAGCAGTGTTCCTCGATTTAAAGAACTTTTTCGGCTTCGGCGGCTCCGGCACCGAAACGGACAGGTCGTTGGGATCGTGGTCCTGCGTGGAGGCAGGACTCTGAGAGGGACTGGCGGCCGCTGCAGCCGCCGCCGCTGCCGCGGCCATCGGATGGAGGGCGGACAGAGTGTAGGTGCGCGTGGAGGTGAAGCCCATCTTGCCCCATTTGCCCACGGTGCCCACGGACCGGGCCACAGTGGGCCGGTTGGTGTTCTCCTTCTCCTTGCAGAGCGAGTCTAGCGGCACCACGATGTTCTTGCCCCAGCGCGACATCTTCGCTCGATTGCGGTTCCTTGGCTCCTCCTTGTCGTATCCTCTCACTCCTTGTTGGTGGCTCTAATCCTTGGCAACCAGATCACTGCAATTCGAGAACATATTAATGGCCAGTTTCAATGAGTTACAGTCGGCAACAAAACCTTCGCTCACCCAAGTTAACATTTGGATTTTGGGATATAAATGCATATATACTGGGTCCACAAATATTACAAATAAATACAAAACAAAGTTAGATATTTCCGAAAATATCGATTAAACATGGGCCTGGTTTGATCAAATGAATAGATAAGATTTGGAATTATGTCAGAATTATTATTAATTATATATTAATGTAACAACCTCTACAAGACGTTAAGTAAACAGAAAACCTATTTTGTTGGTAAATACCAATTCAGAGTTTACCATTCATAACCTCTTTCCTGCCGAGAAGCCCGGAGCTAGGCGGTCGAAAATTTCGCAGGATATAGACCACAAATATACCCCTTTCCCAGCATCATTAACAATTAATTCATGTTTTTGCACTGCGGACAGTTATTGAATTTTACTAAAAGTGAGCGATTTGTTTGGCCGAGGCAAAGAGAGAAGTGCAGCAACAGCAAAACACAACAAACGCGGCACCGTAAGCACTGCGTGGGTGCGAGCGAGAGCACACGATAGTGCGCGCACACGCACACACATACTGGCCAGCGATTTCCAATTTCCACACACACGCATCACAAATATAATCAAGTCCAATTTCCAAACAATTTGTTGCACTTTGCTGTTGCAATTTTCCCTAACCTTCAATAAACAAAACTAAAACACTTACCTCAAGTAAAAACATTTGACTGCTCTCTCCGTTTTGTTGCTGTTGTTGTGTTTGCTGCGTGGATGCATGTGGGTGTGTGTGAGTGAGTGTGGTCAAAAAAATCTCTGTTGCTGCTGCAACGCATATGTATGCGACTGCGTGCGTTTGTGTATGTTGGGAATGCAATAAAACAAACGATGTTTGCGTTTGCTTATTGGCGCATTTTCTTTGCACGAAGCACAGTTCGATATTTTCGCGACTATTGGGTTCCAAAACTAAGCCACTATCGTTCTTATCATTTTCCGTTTGGCCGCCAAGCCAATTGCAGCGAGTATTTGCGTTGCACACACACGGGCCGTTTGCTTTTGCCACCACTTTTACTTTACTTTACTTTACAGCACAGCATCATCCCAGAGGCAGCAACAACAACACACGCACCATACCACCAACACTAATACAAACAACCACAACAACAACAGCGACAATTATAGCTGCTCTGCTACTGCCGTTCCGTTCTTCTTTTACTGCGAATATTTTCTGATTTGGCGATTTATGGTTCGCTAAATCGAGACCAACTTAATTCGCGCGTTAGGTGCACTGCGAATTCAGTGCAATGTCAACGAACGCGTGGGGAATTTCAAGTTTTGCACGGGCAAAATGCACGAAATTTTCTCTGTTTTTCTACTAGAGGTGGGGAAACATCGATGCTAACTTCAATGTTTTCAAAACATCGATATTTGGCAGGGCATCATCAATGTTCTCTCACCTCTAACACTTTGCTACCTGTGGAGGGGATCTGTACTATCTGCGGTTTGCGTCTCCACTACATATCGATAAGTGTGTCTTCCCATCTCTATTCACCAACGGCGAAAAAAGTACCACTTAAAGGAGGGTACCTCTACTACATATCGATAAATATTTCTTCTAATCTCCAATAGTTTTGATAATGGCCATCCCTATTTTTCACGTATGTGACTGAAATATACCGCAATCAGCTGTTTCTGGTATTTTTGCGGCTATTTTGAGTATTTTACCGCTAGCCGCATGTACATTTTTATGTCATCAGGCGGTCCAAATCCAATTGGATTTTCCGAAACGAAACAAAACAGGGTCAACAAAACGCCGGCGCTTTAACGTTCATCAATTAAAGGGCGTTTCAAAACTCCAGCCAACCCGCCTGCTCAGTTCCGTTTGCCCAGGAAAGAACAGGATCAGGATGTCGACGCGTCGCCAGGCAATCACATTATACAGAAATCTCCTGCGCGAATCAGAGAAGCTGCCCTCCTATAACTTCAGGTGCGCGTGGTGAAATAGGCAAATCTATCAGTAATTTTGGAATCAATTTTCAGGATGTATGCTGCCCGCAAGATAAGGGATACATTCCGCGCCAACAGGGGCATCCGGGATTTCGGGGAGATCGACCGGCAGATGGTCGCCGGCCAGCAGAATCTGGAGTTGATACGTCGCCAGGTGAGTGTACTCCTTATCAGCAACGATGGGAAGTATCTAGATGGCCACACACAATCAACATTCAGCCCTGATATAATATAGACGAAGTTCCTTCTTGATAATTTGTCATCTACATCATCGCCTTTATGCCACAAAGAAGTTAGTTAGATGAGAACGTCTTACGTTTTCAACTCATAATCAAATATAGTAAATTCCCCATGAGTTCAGTAATAAAGGATATATGTTTTATAATTAAATAATTTTGCAATTACATATGTCAGATTTCATACTCTTGACTTTAGTTACATATTAGTTTATTTTACATTTTAAAAACCTAAAAACTTGTATTCCTAATAGTTTAAAGGCTCTTGATGTTTTCGCTGGCCTTAACATAAAACCATTTTTTTCTATAAATTCAGTTATTAATGCCGCTATCATTTATTTATGATCGAATAACAAGCCAATCATATTTCAAGTTTTTGATTTATATAAGATACATATTAAATCATTTCAATCATTATAAATTTCCTTTAATTAAACCTTCAAACTTACGTTCCTCACAGTATAGGCTCTAAAAGTTTTCTGGTTCCTTAATATATTGATAATTTCCAACTAAAAATGAAATTTTTTGAAATAATGACTTAAATAATAATTAATAACTGTGGAAACCATATGCCCAAACTAAAGTGACCTTTGCTCTTTAGTTCATTCTGTTTTTCTATAAGATAAATAGTAAACCTAATATGCGTCCACTACCTAGCTAAATAAAAAACCAAGTCAAAATGTTAGACCCTTTTTTTCGCTTATCTATTGGTAGAGTTTGTTAACCCCTTTCGAATGCTCACAGGTGATTGTCGGACACCTGTACAGCGCCGACAAGCTGGTCATAGAGAACAAGAAGACCCTGAAGCCTTCGGATGACTGAGGATAACACGAGTGGCAGCTGAAACGAGTATAATAGCAGGGAAGGAGCAGGAGGAGCTGAATGAGCAGGAGCAGAAGGCGTCTCTACATAAAGGCACTACTCGAAAGGCTCGACCCACACACAACACCACAACACACAATTGAACTTTGCATCCATCAAACCAGGGAACCGAAATCATTTGCTAGCAAAAAAACACCAATTTAATGTTATGTTTAAACAACAAATATGAAATTATATATACATACACATATATATTAATGGTATAAATAAGTACTAAAGTACTTTAGAAAAAAAAGGCAGACACCCGGGGCCTATATGACATGGAATGTGTGTGAGCGGGAAAAGGAGGAGCTGGAAGTAGATCAGCCTACGCCTGGTAGGTACTAGCGGACACATTGCCGCCGGTGCCCGTCCAGTTGGTGTGATGGAACTGACCCTCCTGGCCGAGCAGCTCGTAGGTGTGGGCTCCGAAGTAGTCACGCTGGGCCTGAAGTAGATTGGCGGGCAGCTTGGCCGTGCGATAGCCATCGTAGAAGCTGAGAGCGGTGGAGAGGGCCGGCACAGGGATGCCCCAGCGGAAGGCATTGGCGACCACCTCGCGCCACGAGTCCTGCCCCTGCTCGATGGCCTTCTTGAAGAAGTCGTCCAGCAGGAGGTTCGACAACTGCGGCTGCGACGTGTACGCATCCTTGATGTTGCCCAGGAAAACGCTGCGAATGATGCAGCCGCCGCGCCACATCAGTGCAATGCCGCCGTAGTTCAAACGCCACTTATTCTCGCTGGCCGCCTCCCGCATCAGCATGAATCCCTGAGCATAGGACACGATCTTGGCACAGTACAGGGCATGCTTGATGTCGTCGAGGAACTTGGTGAGGTTGTCCACCCTCGCCTTGGTCGAGGGTCCCTTCAGCGATTGGCTGGCCTGGACACGTTCGTCCTTCAGGGCGGACAGGCAGCGCGAGAAGACGGCCTCGCCAATTAGCGTCACCGGTACTCCGTATTGGAGGGCAGCAATGGCCGTCCACTTGCCCGTGCCCTTCTGGCCAGCAGTGTCGCGAATCCGCTCAAGCAGATGCCCCTTGGCATCCTTGTACTTGAGAATGTCCCGGGTGATCTCGATGAGGAAGGAGTCCAGCTCCGCCGAGTTCCATTTGCCAAACTCGTCGGCCATCTGGTCAGCCGACAGGCCCAGACTCTGCATAATGTGGTAGGCCTCGCAAATGAGCTGCATATCGCCGTACTCGATGCCATTGTGCACCATCTTGACAAAGTGGCCGGCACCGCCGTCGCCCACCCACTCGCAGCAGGGCTCGCCGTCGGCCTTGGCGCAAATCGCCTGGAAGATGGGTCGGATGAGGGGCCAGGCGGCCTCGTGGCCACCGGGCATGAGGGAGGGTCCGTGGCGGGCACCCTCCTCGCCACCACTCACCCCGGATCCCACATAGAGCAGGCCCAGTTTGGCCAGCTCGTCGCAGCGGCGGGATGTGTCCTGGTACTCGGAGTTGCCGCCATCGATGATCACATCGCCGGCGGAGAGCAGCGGCACCAGCTGCTGAATGAAGTCATCCACCGCACTGCCAGCTGGAATCGAAAAGGAAGTCTCGATTAGATACAGTCGATATTTCAATTTCAGGAGCCCATCTGTAGAGCCAGTTGGCTCTATCAATGGGTTGTCCTTAAAAAAGCATTATTTAATTATCTTTCTTAGGCAGCTAAACAGTACAGTAAGGAAATCATGATTAGATATAGTCGATAATTCAACAATTGAGCCATTCTGTAGAGCCCTGCACAATATCAAATGACTATTAATATTAATTTATCTTTATGGTTTTAATGTTTAGTTCCTTTTTATTCACAGATTGATTAAATCAAAAGTTTCATCAGCTTGCTAGTGTTTTTGCTTAGTTTAATTTTTTTTCTGATGGCGAATAAATAAATATGTACACATCTAATATTCATTTATTATACACGAAAAAAAAAATGAAGACTCAATCATTCTTTAAAGTAAATTGTTTACTTATAAAAAGTGTTTATATATTGCTAATTTGTTTGTTAACAGTTTGTTACCCAGCTAGTTCTTTGTTTTATGGAGAAACCATAGATTTAGCCAGAAAGTAGAGCGTGCGATTTGACAAGGTCAATTGGTTGCTTTTGGAAAGTCACTGTTTTGCTTTGGAGGTCACCGTGAGGCGTCCCTAGCACTTCTCCAGCGCAATGGAAATGGAATGAAACGAGAACCAGATAAGGCCAACGAGTCGGAGTCGCGCGATAGCATTGATCTATCTATCTTGCGGACGTTTGCTAGTGGGACACACCAGCGGTCAAAATTGTAAGCCAAAAAAACCAAGCAGATAATTCGTGATCATAGAAATCTGTGACATGTGATGGTTTTAAACTTGAAATAAATAATGCAAATAAACATTTAACGGGATGCTTTCTATATAATCAATTTCCTCTTGTCCTGAATATTTTTTTTATATATACTTATAAATATATTATTGTTCTCAACTCTACTTTATACAAGTTCACACGACTTTACATTTGAATCTTAATTTAATAAAAAAAAACCACAAAACTATTTTTATGACCCGAACTATGTGAACATAAGGCGATCCGCAGACGGGATGAATCATTGGAATTGGATTTGCCTGGCAACTTGCAGGAAAGGTCGCGGGGACAAATGATCATGTTGGACCGAGAATATGGATTTCGGCTAGTCCAATCCGAGGAAATTCCTTTTAAAAATCGCCCTTTGTGTGTGACCTATAATGAATGTCAAAGATTTCTCTCTGTGCTCGTGTTATTGTTGTTTTTGCGCAAACAACAACAAGTTAGGTAGAAATAGGAAGGTTGAGATAAGCCGGGCACGCCGATTAACGTACGAACTAGAGGTGAGTGAAATTTTGGACAAGCTAGTTTGAGAGAAGAAAGCGTAAACCATGGGCTGTGAATGGTATTTTAAAAATATGGACCATGCACTACAGCTACAAGTATATTATTATTTGAGTAAACTTAAACTTTCAAATTTATTTCAAGCATAAGTTATCAGTGGGGCTTGAAAATAAGATAAAAGTATGAAGACATAGCCTTTAAATTGACAATACAATTTGAAACTAGTTAACTGAAAATGTTTGTTTTATGTTGTACTCTCAAAATTTACCAATTTTTTATTAGTCATTTTAAAACTCAACCCTTTTTTTTGGAAAAGTGCCATCTCTAAGCTTACTACAATAACAACAACAAAACAACCGAAAACATCAGTAAAGCTTTGAGTTTAAAACGCAGCTCAAAGATCTCTAATGTTTTTGTTGTTACTCCTCTTTCTCATCCTCTTTCACCAGTTTATCCTCTCTTGCCATTTGCAAAATCGTTTGATGACTTTGCTTTGACTTCCACTCACACGCGCACACACATGTAAAACACACAGTTAAAGCGGAGTGATCGCTTACAACAGCAGGTTTTTGTGTTTTTTTCCTGCGTTTTTTAAGGTTTTGTTTTTGGATTAGCAACTCACCTTTGACCAGCAGCATGACCTTGCGAGGGGTTTTCAGCTTGGCCACCATGTCCTTGAGAGAATCGGCACCAATCACATTGGTGCCTCTGGCCTCGTTGGCGAGGAACTCTTTGACCTTGGCCACTGTACGGTTGTAGGCGCACACCACAAAGCCCTTCTCGTCCATGTTGAGGATCAGATTTTGGCCCATGACGGCTAGGCCGATGAGTGCAATGTCCGCTTGTCTGCAGAATAAGAAACATGAAAAAATTAAAATAATAACATTCGTTAGGAAACAAGAAGAACTTGCAAAAAAAAAGCAGGGCCATATCCTCTCTTACTCACCCGCTCATGTTTTGTGTGTTTGTCGTGCAAGGTTCGCATTTAGTTTGCGGCATTGTTTTATTTGTACAATATTTATATATGGCATGTGTTATCAAATTGCCGATCGATAGTCGAGGTGGAGAAACATCGATGCCAAAAACGACGTCATCGATGTATTCGAAAGACAATTAACATGACCGTTACAAAAACGGCAAGCTTTGAACAAAATTGATCTGCACTGAGATGCACACTTAACATCGTGGTGGCGCAACATTGATGTTTTTCAACCTCCGACTGCGGGCACGAAAACCCATGTAAATTGTAAGTATAAAAAAATATATTAATTAATTAATATCAAAATTAATTTTAATTCAATTTATAAAAGTAAGGTGTATTTATATAAGCTGTATGTATTTGTGTATGCATCGAGAAGTGTCGATTGTTTGGGACCACTTAAAAACAAAATTCAACTACTGTGGGATATCTATAAAGACGACTTCTTACCATATACCATACACTTACCGCACGTATGTACATCCAAATCACCTTAAATAAGAAATGTTAGATGTTGGTTCGCCGATTGATAGTTTCAGCGAAAATGTTAAGTATCGATAAAAGTTTAAAAGCTCCCCCGACGAAGCTTTCGGAGAGCGGAATACTCACACCGATCCCCATGACACACTAATGTTTGGCTGTTTAAATAATTTTTTTTTGCACTTATTTTCATTTTTGGAATATGCTTCCCCATGGATGCGATAGGAAAATGCTCTATATTAAACAAATTCAAAAGATAGTTCCCAATAGATGGTGTTCTCCTATAACATGCTTCCCCATGGATGCGATAGGAAAATGCTCTATATTAAACAAATTCAAAAGATAGTTCCCAATAGATGGTGTTCTCCTATAACAAATTTGCGCAATCATTTCTTTAATATATTATATATGAAATACAGTCTACCCTTCTGTTAGAGCATTTATTATTATTATTATTATTTTATTGCCTATGTCTAAGAATCAGTTAGGTGTTGGTCCTAAAAATTTGTAATATATACAAACATTTTGTATTTAAGATTTGTAATAGAAGACACTTAAATGGTTTGATTAAAATGCTCTAGTGAAAAGACTTCTCAAATATAATAACGCTGTGTATTTCAGTTCCAAAAGTACAAAAAAGACTAATTGAAAATTTAAAAAAAAATATTCCATCAATTTATTACGCATACACATATGGAAATGAAGCAAAAAAAAAAAAACACAAGACCTTAGACTTAACATTTACATGAGCCCCGACTTCAGTTGAGCACCTTATAGGGATTGAGGATGCCGTTGGGGTCCAGAAGCTTCTTCATGTCGCGCATATAGCCAATGGCCACCGCATCCTTAGAGTAGTGCAGGTAGTCCTTCTTCAGGAATCCAATGCCGTGCTCCGCACTGATGCTGCCCTTCAGTTTGGAGGTGTATTCATAGACAAAGGGCTCAACCCGCTTGTAGATCTCGTCGTTGAACTCCTCGCAGGAGACGTTGAGGTGCAGATTGGAGTCCCCCAGATGACCATAGCCACAGACCACGGTGGCCAAGGGGCCACATCTCTCCCGCATCACGTCCACAATGCTATAAAAGTCTCGCAGAGGCAACGAGATGTCGTACTTGAAGCAGAAGCTCTTCTCGATCAGGCTAAGCGGCACCATCTCGCGGATCTTCCAGATCTCCTGCATCTTTCCAGGATCACCGGTAACGGTGCCATCCTGGATCTCGCCACGCTCCATGCCATCGCCAATGAACTGGTTGATCTTCTCCTCGTCGTGGTCGCCATTGCTGCCCGACGTCTCGATCAGCATGTAGAAGGGAAAGCCCGATATGGGCGAGCTATTTCGGGTATACTTGGGATTAGTCGCGGTCAAAATCAAAACAGGATATTAAAGTAAAGTTTGTATATAACTAGTTATGTGTATCCACTACAAGCAAAGATGAAAGGCCGATTAGGAACACTTAAGGAGAGTTACGTTTTAGGCACACATCTACACTACAGAAACTTTATGGATTTGGGCTCTACGTTGATTTCATAATAAATTAGGATTATTAAAACGTTATAAGAAAATATATAGATTCAAGATAAAGGATCGAAAACTTGCACCTCACTGCGATACTTCTATCGGACCTTAATTAATTAAAAAAAAATAAAATTGACAAACTCACTTAAGGAACTTGAACTGCTGGAGGGCGGTGTTCAAGGCCCGCTCGTCAATCAGCTCGCAAGAGCTGAGGATCTCGCCCAGATTCCGTTTGGCACTGACGAAGGTCTTCAGCACATCGTCGAAGGAGTTCAGGCCGATAAAGGCCACATTGACGGCTTTGGAGGAATGGGGACACAGCATCGAGAGCTTTGTGACCACGCCCAGTGTGCCCTCGGATCCGATGAACAAATGTTTCATGTGATAGCCTGTATTGTCCTTCTTGAAGTTGGACATCAAATCCAGGACCTGACCAGTGGCCAGCACTGCCTCCACGCCCAAAACGGATCCGTGCAGATTGCCATAGCGCACCACGCGCACTCCGCCCGCATTGGTGGACACATTGCCGCCGATGTGGCAACTGGCCTTGGCACCTAGGTCCAGTGGCACCGTCAGGCCCACCTCCCTGGCCCTTTGGTCGAAGTTCTCCAGGATGCAGCCCGCCTCCACTACGGCGATGCCGGTGACCTCGTCCACGGAGAGCACCTTGTTAAGGCGCGCCAGCGACAGCACAATCTCGTCGCAAATGGGCACGGATCCGCCCACCAGACCCGTGTTTCCGCCCTGGGGCACAACCGCCAGACGACGCTCGTTGCAGTACCTCAGGATGGCGGCCACCTCCGCAGTGTTTCCGGGCTTCAGAACCAACTTGCTGTTGCCTGGAATTAAGTAGAATAATAATACAGTGTTATACAAATCCGTTGAAATTAAACATAAATTCATGATTAAAAGTGTGCATTTACGCACCACTATATTCAGTTTCCTGACAAAACCAGACAATATAAAGCTCTGAGGGAATAGGATCTAATAGAATGGTAAATATTTCGGGATATTTCGAGTTTTTTATAAAAAATTATAATTAATTATTAGACTTTGAAAGACATTTATTAGTACATCCTAGATTAAATCCATTTTGAAACATTTTAAAGGATTTGGATATTTTAAAAACCTTTTAATTTTTTATAAAAAATTAGAATTAATTATTAGACTATGAAAGAAATTTATTAGTACATCCTAGATTAAATCCATTTTAAACATTTTAAAGGATTTGGATATTTTAAAAACCTTTTTATTTCCAAGATACTCAAATTATTGCTCAAATGTTTATTTACAAAGTTATAGAAAAGGCAAAATTGAACAATTTGCAGACAATAAAGCGATAACGTTCAGTATAACAAACAAACATATGCCGTATTAGACAGGGTTATTTAGTCGAAGCCCAACTCACCACGAATCCTTTTGAGGAAGCAGATATTGTATCCCTCCAGATCCTCGGTGAGGACAAAGTTCTTGCCCAGGAGTTGTTCGAAGTGCACCACATCCTTGTCGGCCAAAGTGGCGAAGTTGCCGCGCTGCACATTGTCAGTGATCTAAAACAAGGGGTTGTATCAATTCTGGCCACCTCATAACCATATTTTTTGTGTAGGACCAAGGAGCATTTACCTCGGTGAGTTCCGGAATTGGTGCCCCGCTGCCCGCCATTGTGCGCACAGTGGTTGCGATGGGAGTGGTGGTAGTGGTGCTTACAGTGGGGTGGGTGGTGGCCAGTGCGGTGCCAGTGGTGGGTCGCCTCATCAAGGTGGTGGCCGCGGTGCTGGCCAATCTGCGCACTTGCAGGAACTGATGGAATCTCATTGTGAAGGGTGGTTGCAGGAACTGGCGATCAGACTGCTATAGGCTCTATCTTGAATGAAGATAGACATAAGAATTATAAGTAAACCTTTGAAACGCTTCAAAGTTCCGGTTTAGATTGATTAATATTGAAATAGTTATTATTTTGTTATTATTTTTAATTACTAATTACCTAGTCAAGGCTAACCCTTAATTATTTGGAAATCGTTGATTATATATATTTAAGCGCAAGCCGGGAACTCGTCAGCATTGTCAGCAAACCTCTGAAATATTTTTACGTTCTGGTTTAAATAAATTAATATAGTTATCTTATTTTTTTAATTCAATTTGTTTTAGTTCTTATTATTTAGGTATTAAAATAAAGGTACCTAATTAGACCTATAAGTATTTTTTAAATGTTGATTGTATATTTTTTAGCGGAAGTCGCAAATTTTTTAAAACCCCATGTTCTAATTTGAAATTTTTCCGGCCACTATTCATAAAATTTTCCTGTTAATGCCATAGTTTATTTAATTTGTATTCATACATTTAAAATACAATGTTAATTTTTTCCCTCTAATAACTGCTAGTTAAAATGACTTCTTTCGATCACTGTCTTCGATTAGACGGAACCCCAGACTGACGAACTTCCCCGGAGCGCTGGGATGCTTATCATATTATCACGCCACTAACCATCCACTCGAGGTGAATTATGGACGCAATCTTCACCGTCTTCTATACGCGGACCGTATCGCACTGAAACTGATAGAGCTCCCAGGAAACCGAACTTTTCCACTAGACCTCTCGGACTCCAAAGCCATATCATATATGGTGGCGTTATCAGTCCGTCCCGACTTCACGCGTGCATACAGAAATTAGCATATTTATTTTGGACCACATTCTACGCGCACACATTCAAACACCATAGTCTGGTTTTGGTATAGTTCGAAAAGTGCAATACACAATACGGGAAGTCAAGATCTCTATGAGGCCGCACAGCTTATCGCCGGCAGGTAGATCTAGATCCCTAACCAAAACGTTCATAAAACCATTTGGCCCAGGGACGGAATGTAGTTACAGTTACGGGGATACAGATATAATCGGGACTACCTGGAGTATCTGCATCACCAGGTCACGGTGGACTAACCGCGGTGCCAGGAACAACATTTTCTTATTTTTAATTTTTACCAGATTGGTCAGAACACGTTGACATTCAAACAAGTAGTTATTTATTTAAAAAAAAAAATGTTTCTTATTGTATGATTAAAATTACTTAAATCGTGTTTATAATATTATTGTTAT